TATAAAGCCCTTAGTTCAACCAAATGAGGACAACTTTATAGAGAGAGTGCAAATCCAAGTCTTAACTTACAGGATTGTGGCCAAAGGAGAAATGGTTCAAACTTTGTTTAGTGGAAAATTTTAAGAAGAATTCCTTTCTCCAAAATTTAGAATGTCTGTTTGAAATCTCTGTTTATATACACAAGATATAGACTAGCATCATTTTCATTTTGGACTCATCTTTTGCCTGTTTCTACATACATCACATGTAAATTAGAAATCAGCTGTTGTTAAAATGTTTTCATTCTTCATCTGTCCACAAAGTGTTGGATATGCAGACGGAGAATCCTCCATATTTCATGACTTTGACATAGTAACAGTAACATTTTCTAGGCCTCTGAAGCCTTGTTAAATAAATGTTGTAGTTTTCCTATCACACACACACACACACAACATGGAGACGGGAAGATGGCTGACATTTCTGGGGCCTCTGGTGAGAACATGACTTTCTTCTCGTTTCTACTGGCCAATCGACCACACTGAAAAGGGAGATAAAGATAAGGCCTTTTGTTCAGCCTGTCCTACTGATTCTGCTGTGGGAGACCATCACGTGTGTCTGTGTGTGACAGAGTCCCCCTCAGAGGAATCAGTACAGGAGGACATTTACAGGAGAGCCACACAGACACAGTAGAGTAGACTAGTCTTAACACCACTAGGGCTGTCACTTCAAATTAATTTAATATGAATTTTTGTGTTGACATAATAACTCAACACCACTTGGGCAGATTTTGCCCAAACTTGGTGGGAATATTACTTCATGTGTTTTAACGCTTTTGGAAAAGGTGGACAGATGAACCTTCAGTTATGATCATTTGTCAAAAACGCCCTCTACTTGTCCAACAGTGTCATTTGCAACGCTGTTGTCTTGTCACCTTATGTTACTGAGATGGAAGTAGATGACGTGTGAACAATGCTACTCTAATCTGACAAATTCATCATCCTTTTTTCCTCCAATTTTTTAGTTTTATTTGGGGGGGTTGCGTATACCATATCCTACATGCAGTGTGAAAATGGAGAAAAGGGGAATTGAGCTTCACATGCTGGGACACAGTGTTAGCCAGATGTCATCCCATTTCATGTGAGATATTACGCTGTTACCAGTAAATGGTGTTCAGATTGTGTCAGGTGTGAAGGCACTCATTCAAGATGATATCACCCCAGTAAAAAGGGGCAGCAGCCAAATGCAGGAGGATTGATAATTTTGTCAAATTGCCTGTAGCACTTTGAGGTTCACAGTCAGCCGCAAAACATCTGAAGGAAGATCCTGGTATAATATATATGAAGCCATCTTCATAATGTATCAAAATTGAATGGCTGGAATGCCACTTAAGATAGTGGTAGCATAATTGGTGCTCCCAAAAATCTTAATAGTATCATATCGTGAGCTGGGCTTTTAAAGGGACCTATTGTGAGATGTTACCTTGATCTCACACACACAGGCGGTAAAACCATCATTCCATCTCAGAATTCCCAAGTGTACTGGGACACCACATACTATAATGATCCTGTGTAAATGGCTGGGTCGGACTGCCAACTTGTGTAGATCATGCAGGCAGAGACTAATGTACTGTCTCGTAATAGGAGGAAATTACCTGCCTATTACAGCTAAACCCTCTGAGAGGGGAGGAGAGGAGGTGGAGCAGATGAGGAGGATATAGGTAAGTGAGTAAGAGAACAGGAATATTGTGTGAGAGAGCAAGCTGTCCAGATGAATGGGGTTTTCATGATGCATCTGCAGCGGTTTAAACAGAACTTAGACAGCAAACCCCCTCCTCTGTTAAGTGATGGATTTTCCGGGTTGATAAATATGGGATCATTCTTTTCCTCAGGTGTTGGTAAAAGGCAGAGTCCAGGAATGGGCCCTCCCGTGTTGTGCCATCCGTGGTTCCTCTTTGTACAGGTCTGAGCCATCCTTGTGCCTGGGACTGCATGAAGCACCTTGTTGGGTTTGTGTCTGGGGGTTTTGGCCTTAGTGTGAACAAGCATTCACAAGCACTGAGTTTGTTGCAGGGCTTGAAAACTACCAGTACGTGTTGTTTGGAATTGTGACTCAATTAGGTGGTAGTCATCTGGTCACGTCAGTAAATTTGATCATGTTCGTATTAGGTCAAATCATAAACTGTATATACATTTAGACGATGCATCTCCACTGCCTGCCACTGTCCAGAATTTACACCAACATACCCAGGACACAAAAGCTTCCATCTTGTGCMTTTGGAGCAAGAGTTTGCCACATCTTTTGGGGAGCAATCATCGTTTATCTTGTCACTTTGTGCTGCTGTGAGAGGCCTTCAGCGTGAGGCAGACAGCTGGAGATCTGCAGGAAATAAGAGTCACAGTTACTCAGGGTTGTGTTCTCCATCAATTCCCACAGCTTAGTGTTTGGGAAATGTACAACTACAACTCACTGTGGATATTTGATGTCGAGTGATTTTGTTTTCACTTTTCAATCAAATTAAATGTTCTTCTACTTATAAGGTAAAAAAAACGGAACTACAACATGACTCGGTGATCGACAGTGTAAGGTAAAAATATTCTAAACAATAGATGAAGCCTCACGAATCTCATTTTCAAATCTGATTTTTGCTTGTTGACAAAATTCTGGCTGTATAATACCAACACCATGTTTTGTCAGGCATGCTTAAAGAAATTAATTGAACATTTCTGCAGAGGCGGCCGTAATGCACTCTGATTTCCTTCAGCTATTGGTGAAGCGTAAATTGGCAAACATTTGCATAATGTGCTCATGTGAATAGACAGTTTAGATTGCTGTTTGTTAACAATATTTGTTTGCTAAGTTATTGTATTCATGGAGACAAATACGGAGCGTGTCTTTATGCAGCCTCATTTCTTCTTAGTTGTTTGTTATTATGATAACTAGGATCCATTTGATGTCAGCAGGCCTTTTATCATCAAATGAGCCATTTAAATGTCACTACTGTAAGGCTGTGTTTGTGTCTGTGTGTTTGTGTGTGTGTGTGTGTGTGTGTGTGTGTGTGTGTGTGTGTGTGTGTGTGTGCGTGTGTGAGTGATGCACGAGATCATTACATTTTAAGTCCCATTCAAGTCTCACCATTTCCTTCAATGAGAAATTACTAGCATTCACTCTCTCTGATGTTGCATCAGTGACAATATTCAATTTTTAATAATTATCGCTCGGTCACTAAATTCAGGCTTTTGTCCGTTTCTCAGGCTTTTGTCCGTTTCTCCCGCAGTTGATTTTTGTTAAAGCAATCGGCCAAAATGTAATGACAGAGGACATTAGAGTCATTATTCACAAGTGTGGTTCACATTAACTTTGTGATTGTGGTATAAAATGATGCTTCTTCCTTATGATAAAACTTACAAAAACAGTGTTTCCTGGAATATACTAAGATCATTTGAACCATTGCTGTGATAGTTCAAACCATAGACTTTATATACAGGCTACACATCTACACAAAGCTGCACATCTCACACATGTTGAAACACATCAGGAAAATGCTCCGAAAATTCTGTAAAAACACAACATGCAAGAGCTTTTGGTGTTGATGTGCTGTACACAAAAACATGTGATTTCCACATGTTCTGCCAGATCTGTATCATACAAATCTGCATAGTGTACCTAACATGAGTATTTGTAGCTCAAACTTTACTCTGCACATCGCTTGAATACATAACCCCAGGTACTTTCCACCATCGCCCTGACACTAGACTTGCTGAGGAGCTCAGGACACATGACAGAATCTCTGACTCCGTCCTGTAAGCCTGTTCCCAACTACTGGTAATTTAGGAAATCCTTACTGGCAGGTTGAGATGACAAGGCCACTGTCTTCGTGGAAGTGCTCTGTAATTTGCTTGTTTTCCATTTTGCCATAGAGCTGATGCACTGCAGGAGCAGGAGAGCCAAGGAGCATTTTTCTCTCTCTCCTCCCTATCTCTTCCTCTAGCTCACTCGCCCATTTGCTCCAGGTTTCTCCCATTGTTGTCATTGTGTTACTCAGCTCAGCTCCGTGGCCTCTGAGTTAAGAAAAACGCAGGCTGCAAACCACCACCGAAATCAGAGCCTAACAGCAGTGAAATGAAGTGTACGAGGGAAAACAAAGCTGTGACAGTTTGGAACACAAGGTCTTAAACAGGCTTTAACAGGCTTTGTCAGCAGAATGTAAAATATTAACACGGCAAAAAGAAAAGATTTTCAAATCCTGAAGCCATCACCCATGAATCCATTGTCAAATTTGGAAACTTCTTTTCTAACAAAATTATTAGATAAATGCTTTTTAAACACAAGTCTTGCTAAAAAAAAAAAGGCGATTGTTTACTTTTCCATTTGTCATTTTTTTCCTCCTGTTACTTTCGACATCACAAACGTGCACCATCATTTGCACCATCATTTTTTATATCGTGCAACACTGGCAAGACAAAGAGGCAAGATAACTTTTCAGTTTCTGGCTCCTTGTTCCCAAAAAACAATAAGTACACCAACATTCACGGCTATTTACGCACCAATGCCCAGAAGTTCAATCTGTATCATATGATGTCACGCCAGAAAAGGTGCAACATAAGCGTCAACACTGCCAACATGAAGAAGTAATCGGCATGTTCACATCACTACTGATCGGGAATTAATGCATTTATCTTTTCTTCCTTTTCATAAATCTTAAATTGAGCAGATCGATTAATAAAGCTGGTGAGCTGGCTAATTTCCATTTCCCAAAATGTCTGATCTAGCACCTGAAGAACAGAAGATAGGTTTGTTCAAATAAATACATTTTATAAGCTCTGCAAAGTTAATCATTGTCTGGAGCATTGTGAGGAATTCCCTCCCATCATGATAGACATTATCGGTTTCCACCCATCTGAACAAATCTGTTCAGTTTGAATTACAATTGTTTAGTGAGAAAAAATGAGCACCGGCCACGTGTGTGTATGTACGAGTGTGACTGTGTGTGAAAAGAACTTTGAATGGCTCCCCTGCTTACCATGCCGACGCTGTGGCCTGTCTTCTCTCGTCTCCCGTCTCCCACGGTAACCAAGGCCCCTAGCTCCCTCTTATTGGCTCATCCATTGAACTCCTGAGCTAGAGACAAAAGGCAAGGACCCAGCACTAGTAATTCCTTATCACAAAATCCCATTAGCCTCAGGGTTTTTCAGGTTTTTCCTCATTAACCCACACAAAAGTAAAGTGGAAATCACCATACCCGGTCAGCTCAGCTCCTACCGTGAGGCTGACTATACACCCCCTAATAACATCACTTTGCCCCAGCTTGTGCTGCATTAGTACGAGAGTTTTAAAATGTGCACTAATAAAATCCCCCCTAAATAAAACTAAAAGGTGATGTATTTTAAAATGGCAGTGCTTCATTATCAAATTCATCCTTTTCAAAACATTTTATACAAATAATTATTTCTGTGATACTGTTGATAAATAATTCATTAGCCTGCTATGTGGCGAGTACCCTATTAATCTAAAGGGAGATTACAATGATACATCAGCATAATAATCACAAAATAAGTATCACAGAGAAGATGAGAAAGATAATGAAATCATTCAAACTAAACTTACCTACTTCCTGCTGCACAGATGAGATCTTCGAGAGGATAAACATGACGTCGGAGGTGTTTTTCCAATGGCTCTGTTACTGCAAGCAGATATAACAGATAGTTATTAGAAAGGTTCTGTTACTGACAAACAGGCAGCACATGTATATTTCCATTGAGACTCTGTTCAGTCAACCAAAAGCAAAATTCATAGTGTGTGATATCCGCTGATAGATGGTCCCTTTATTAGACCTCGAATCTTCATAGAAACACTGCACACCCGCTCCAAGCAAAAAAAACCTCACGTAGACACTGGTGGACCATTTCTATTGCAGAGTTCAAAGGGTTAATATTTCTCCTAACCCATATTCCAGTAAAAGTTTCATGGAATTCTTTCTCATTTTATAATGTAACGCCCTCAGAAATGTCAATTAAGAGACATCTGGATAAAACAGAACCTACTGCAGTGTATCCAGTCGACGTTTCAGCTCGGCACTTTCTATCTCTCACCTGTCACCCTTCCTCTTGTCAACAAATTGAGACGTTGTACAATTCAGAGATTCGGAGTGTGTGTGTGTGTGTGTGTGTGTGTGTTGGACAGCCCCAGCAACCCTCGAAGTGAAACCTCTCAGCATACTGAATGGGCCTCGATACACCTAAGGCAGTAATCACTGCGGTTTCTGCCCAAGTGTGTGTGATAACCGGCTCTATGAATTCGGATTGACAGACAAAGGCCTAATCGCTCCTCAGCTCCAGCAGCCAAACAGCTCAGAGGAAGTATTGACCCAAAAGCACCATAATCCCCTTCACCTAACACGGGCAATTTCATGTAATACCTGTAATAACATGCATTCAGCTCAAAGCAGATATCAAAAGAGCTCTGAGCATCTGATTTGGAGAGGTGAGCCATGTGAGTAGAGGGAATCTGCACAGCATATCAGTCTGTGATGACAACATCGTGGCCCAGACTTTATTTCTTTTCAACTTGTCCCCGTTGCTTTGACTTATCTTCACTCTTGCCCTCTGACTTAATTTGTAGAAACTGTGAAACATATGGAGACTTGTACAGTAAAGAAGAGCTGTGTGACGGCCTTTCATTCTTTTCTTTGTGTGACTGTTTGCTGTTGTTTAAATTGTTGGAATTATGGTTATTTCTGTTTTGCCTGCATGTTACATTACTGTACTTTTTTTTTTTTTACCTGTGATGCTTCATGTCCATCTCAGTTAATGGTGAGCAGTTAACCCTCAAAATTGACTGACAACAATAATGACGCCATGGGAGGCAGAACTGCAGTATTTAACAAAAAAAGTCTAAAAATAATATAGTTCAGTTGTCAATCACCATGTTTCACAATGTTTTTATTGTATAATTTAAACCAAACTTACCAGGAGACACTTGAACATACATCAGTGTAGAAGTACCTGTAATGACAGAAAAAACCCAAACATTATTTGACGTGTACTTAGAAATCTGTAAAATAAACAGTACAAAAGCTTTTCCACTGTTATACGCCACTACAACTGTTGCATCTAAATCACAAATGGCACAGCTGAGTTGCTCTTGCTGTCTGGGTTTGTTCCTGCACACTCAGTGTGTGTTTAATGTGAGGCTTAGTCAGAAGAAGTGGTGCACATGAGGGAATATGTGGTATTCTCTGTTGGCGTTGGGATAAATCCACACAAACGACAGAAAAGATCAAGAAAAGAATCATTTAGGCATATTCTGCAAATACATATAAAATACACACTGTGTTATGGAGAGAACTAATCTGTACCTACGTAGTAGGGATTAACAAGAAATGATGCAAACATATACTATTAAAGGATATGAAAATAAACAGCTTGAGCATTAGGGAATGGACACACACACAGTTGTTTGTTGTGGTATTGCTTGAATCTAAAGCTTTCACATAACTTGTAATGATACCTCTTGTTTTACATGGTTTGTTGCATTTAATATATAAGCAGCTTTACAGTAATAGTAAAATTCTATTGTTGGATTAAGAGTATTTCTTGGGTTTCATTACATTAGATTGAAATCAGAAAACACACACACACCTGATTTTGTATTCATGTCACAGAGTCTAATCAACCTTCTCATGCACTCGCTGCTGCACAGTTACACACACTGCAGTTATATGTTGTACTTGATTCTACGTATACAAGTGTGTGTGTCTATGTGTGTGTATGATCCAGGCCTTAATCTGTTTACGCTGCAATTTGATAAGGGTAGGGGTCGGGGGTTAGGAAAGTAGTAGTTATGCCTAGAGATATGTGTGTCGATGTAATGTCTTCTGAAGTAGTGTGTGTGTGTGTGTGTGTGTGTGTGTGTGTGTGTGTGAGAGCATGTGTTTGAGCGACAGTGAGCAAGGCCTCTATCATCAATCTGCATATCTGCATATTAGCACTGGACCATCCCTTTAATTTCCTACAGTGGCTGATAACCATCGCCTGCTCTCAGCCTCTTTGTCGCTCCCACACACCACTCCGAGATTTCAAACAAGAGTGTGTGTGTGTGTGTGTGTGTGAGACAGAGAAGAGACTCAGAAAGGTTGTAGGCTGATTAATACCGTCACTTTTTTCTGTTGCCCAATATCGATTTATATTTCTGTTTAATAAGTGAATCTGTGAGATATTACAGACATGTTGTAGAGGGTAGAGAGGTGGAGGTCTTCATTTCTGCACTTTTAAATGTTCCTTTAGCATCAACATAAGGATCAAATCTTTTGTTTATATATTTGTGTCTTGTTTTATATTACATTTTACATTGTATTAATTCTTCTTTTGTTCTGTGAAGTGATTGATAATTGATGAGTCTTAAATAAGATGGTGAAATGAACTGTTCTTTTATGACACATTATGGTCATGTAATTCAGATTCATTTAACATTGTATTGTAAAAATCCAGAAAACAACAAAATGTGTGTTAAATAAGTGTGTTTGTGTGTTTGACAGCTCCACAGTGATAATTGTGTCACCTTAATTAACTCTGTGAGGTCTGGGCATGTGGCCTTGCAGCCGCCTGTGTGTGCACGTGAGTACCGAGTCACATTGCATCGGTCGGAGGTGAATGCTAATCTGCTATTTGCTATTATTCTCCCAAGACCTTGGGTGTGACAAGCAGATGGAGGTGGAGACGGGGGAGCAAGAAAGCGGCAGAGAAGGAGACAAAGTAGATAGGGAGGTTATGAATGGAGCCTTTGTGTGAGTGTGTGCGAGTGTGTAATGGCACTAGAAAAGAAAAGGTAGTGCAAATTTAGAGGCATGAGAGGAGAGGGTGCCTGCATTTGAGGGTGAAAGAGGAATAATGTGTCTATGACCATGTGCATCTCAGTACAGGGCTGAGTTCCTCCACAGCAGAGAAACATTTGACTAGATTTTCATTTTACTGCTTCTCTCCTGCTTTCTGTCAACATCATTATATAAAGTAGTGTTTGCTGGTCAGCTGCTCAGACTCGTACTCTGCAGCGTCCAGGTGTGAATGTGTGTCACTAAGTATTTTGTCAGTGAAACTTTTATTCTAATTCAAAGATGTGAACAGACAAAATCCAAATGATGGAAATAATTCTTCCTCTGTTCAAGGCTGACAGATACCACAGGTGGAATATCTTCAGTTTTTATTGCTAAGAAGACAGGAAATGTCGCTGATCAAACTTTACTTGGAGTCAAACTAATCCATTTTCTCTCTTAAACTGCAACGTTTGAGCCTGAAAACCTTTTCAGACCGGTTCATGTTCACACTGAAGAACTTAATTAGTTAATAATCATATTTTTCTCTATTCCTGTTTTCCAGGACGAATGAAAGATGGCAACTAACCATGAACTTCACACAATTCTACTGAAAAGATGTTGACTCATTCCAGACACAGACCTTACTTCGAAAAGGTTACTTACAATTTTTCTTTGTGGGCTCTCAAATTTTGCTAGATCAGTTTAATGAAGTCAAAATAAACAATTTTTTGCTTAATTTTACTTTATTAGTTCAGTGAATCATAGGTTTAAAGGCCTTTGTACACAAGACAAACATCCATTTCTGCCATTAATTTGCTCATTACTAATAATATTTTTCTAACCATGTTCAGTCAAGTCTTCACATCAGCTGCATTTTATTTATTATTTTTTTCAGACCAAAGGTTTCGCTTCCTGCATATATACATCTAACGAGAATGCAATAGTAGAAGTGAAGTCTTCAGCCATTGCTATTGTTATTTTTGTCTTTAAAAGGATATGATGTAGCTAACGTGAAGCCAGGATTAAGCAGCAAACGACAACTCCTCTTGAATAAGTTTTTTTTAATCCATAAAAAAGTAAATATTTCTCTTAATCACCTCAAGCTTATTGTGAATAGTCTCGTTTAAATTCACCTCAGAATTCTGAGGTGAAAGGTCTTATCTCTTTCAGAAATGATAGTTTGATATAAACTGAAGTTGTGGTGCTAACTTTACTTCGATATCAAAATTAATACGATTTAATGATGCAGCCAACTAATAATGGAAAAGCTTTTGTATCTATGGTCATTGCTTGGATCTTCCCTTGACCAAAACTTTTTTTTCCCCCCATCTCTGTGAACCTGGCCAAGGCTGATCTCATAGAGTGTGTGTGCATGTGTCAGTGTGTCTCTTTCAATGAGATAACACAGCTGATCCTGTACAGAAGGAAATCTATAATGTTTAATACCAAGGTCAGAGTTATTATTTCTCTCTGTCTGCCAGTGCACTCTTTCACAATAGTTGGATTTTTTACCCCTCAGTGAAGAAAAGTTTTCAATCAAACCGTGCAGCTGAATGCGTGCTGGCAGCATGTGTGAGGTGAAGTGTCAATACCTCCAGCTGCACCTTAAATCAGCAGCTAATAACCACACATCTATTCAATAAGGACTTCTCTTAGTGCCGTTTGAATGAGGCAGAAATTTCTGCACTTTTTGTTTGATTAACAGGATCAGACTTCTACTATTTTGAGTTCAACCCGCGCACTTTAACAAATACACTTGTAGAAAAGTTAGCTTTGAAAGCATGTGAAATTCTTATATTCCTATTGCTCAAGAAATGTCACAAAAAGATCAATAAATTCAACCTTATTCTATTGTTGTCCAAAAACTTCTAGATTTCTTTTATTAACTATCACAGACTGCATAAAATATATATATAATATATAATATTACATTGATACAATTAATCAGAACTTTCATTAGTGTTTGTGTTTAGCAGTGAAATTCATTTCTATGGAAAAAATATTAATTTAGCTTGTAAATGACAAACTATTGTATTTTTACAAGAATGAAAAGAGAACATATTCTAACTAGAGCTTATACGGTTTATCATTTGACATAATCAGCAAAAACTTTCTTGAACAATTTGGAAAATTTGCAGATAATATTTTTGGACACCTTTGGGTTGGGACTGTTCAAACTATTTGACAATTTGCACCTTGGACCCTAGAAAGACAATAATCTGCAGCAAAAACATACTCGTTCTGCACATTCACCTTCACAGGACAGGACGTCTTACCGATGGTGTGGCGTCAGGAACTCAGTGCAACTCAGCAGACCAGAGGAACCTTTGAGAGATGATAGAGGACGGAGAGTTTGGGGAATGAGAAGAGACAAACAAGTAGGTTGGTGTTTATAGATCTATGACAGTAGTTGTTTTAGGTGTAGTCCTGATCCTTCTGAATTATCTGTAATTCGAGAGTGAGGAGTACAACATCAAATAATGCAATATTACTTTTTTGGCGGTAGAGATGGTCAGATGGTAATAAAAAGTTCATAGTTCAGAATCAACAGGCAGCTACAGCAGTGAGTGTGTCCCTATAAATACATTTGTGTTGTCTGACAGTCTGAAAGAAGCAGTAATGGACATCTTATCAGTATAGCCTGACAGTATGTGGTATTACATAGTGGTGTGTGTGAGTGTGAGTGGGGGGGATGCAGAAGCAATAGACTGCTGACAGCACAGTGATGAGATGATAACGTGCGTTGGTCATGCTAGAGACAGACAGAATGATGGACACGGCTGTTTTCGCTCTTATCCTGATCATCTGTCCAGTTCGACTGACTGAGCAGTGACGCTCTGCAGTCTTCACCCAGTCCACCTCATTATGCACATGGAGAAAGAGATGTGGACGGATGGATGGAGGGAAGAAAGTTAGCAAGAAATTGAATATTTGTCAACATAAAAAGGGGAAAATGTTCGATTTACATTAGCTTAAAAAAGAAGTCTTCAGGATGCCTAAAAAGGTTTTAAGGAATTTTTTTAACTTACAGTGTGAGGAGAACTACATAAAATTGCATTAACCATCTTTGAGAACAATGTATTTGACATGAAGTTTGTACCTGTATTGCAGCCAGCCACCAGGGGGCAATTTAAAGTCTTTGGCTTACTCACGCAGTCTATGGACAGGACAGATTCATTTTGCCAACCTGTGCGACAGCTAGCTTGTTTTAGTGGTTCTTCTGTACACTAGGTTACTATTTCACTGTATTTCTGGTTGTGCACGTTCAGTGGTCGCTTGAGCACAGTTTGTAACACCGTAGACTTTAAAAGGCAGAGAACACAAAGGGAGATGGAGTCATGGCAGACAAAGCTTTGGTTTTGGTCAGAGATGTTGGAGATAACACAACGTCTAGTGTCGTAATTATAACCGCTGACACCTTGGCAGTTACCTTTTGTTTTTTTAAGGCATTACCTTTTTCACTGTCATCCTGTATAGAGTAGAGCCGAGTTTCATATAATCAGGCCCTTCACCATCCTCCTGTCGTCCTCCTGTCATGCTCCTGATCCCTCCATCAGTGTTGTGTCACTGCTTTTATCTCATCACCCTCGGCAACCTCTCCATCTTATTGTCCCACTGCTGCTATCCGGCTCTTTGTTGCTCTGATGAGGGTCAGCAGGTCAGCTGAAGGGCTTGTCATTAGCTGGGTGTGTGCACATGTGTACACAAGATAATAAGGTACTTAAATGATCACCGTGAGGAAACCACGGCACAGAGGGAAAGTGGAACAAAGCATCAAAAGTAAAAAAATTAATTAGAAGTAAACACATGTTGAATGTAAAGAAAATTCATTTAAATGAACAAATTTAGTACAAAGCAATGAAACTGCAAATACATTTACACACTTTATTCTGTACACCTCAAATATCTGATGCAGTCCACTACAAATTAATAAACAAAATAATGTTTTTGGAGACATATTAATTTACTGAGGTGGAAAAAACCTTGTAGTCAACACCATTGCAAACTACAACCTCAATAATACTTAACATAATTATCTATACAAAGACTACATTTACACGTACAGGTGTACCTAATAAACTGAGTGCATGTTTATATCAGAGACTTCAAAAAACTAATAGAAATTTAAAAAACTAAAATAGAATATGTACCTACTTTAATCATTCCTGCTCTTCCAATGCAAGTGATGAAGGAGCCAATCCACAGTCTTCTCCTGAACTTAATGTAAAGGTTTAACAGTTGCAGTAAAAACCCTGGACACCTGAGAAAACACCCAACAAGCGACAACATTAAGCAACATAAAAACAGGCAGTAGGTAAAACTATATCATAAATAGATTCTGTTTCTAATGACTACATCCTGATTAGCAAGAACAGCCAAAAACAACAGCACCATTAACGTGCAGAGAAAATCAGTGTTGAAGATGATCAGTGGGGTTCACCCTATAAACAAATGCCAAAATGAATCTGCAGCAGGTTTGCACGTTTGTTTACTAGATTTACTGACTTTACATATTCCTTCAGCAAAAATGAGTCAGAGATAAGCCTTAGCTACTTTCTGTAAGAGATTCTCCAGTTTTGCCACATGAGACGGAGCTTTCTCTCTGCAGACGCACACGTGTCTATGGGTCTTGTTCAGTTGTCTCATCCACATAGAAGCTGATGTAGACATGAATGAGCTCCTAACTTATTTAGTAAACAGCTGAAATCACAGGCATTGTCTCTAACTTGTGTGCCTGGTTATTACGTCAGTCGACGTTGCGGCTGTAAACATCAGGATTGTAGAGCAGCGGTTTGAAAATGGCCTGGATGGGACTTTTTGTTACCTCCACCAAGGAGGATACGTTTTCACCCCGTCCGTGTTTGTTAGTCAGCAGGATTATATTAAATCTTCTGATAAGATTTCAATGAAACCTGGTGGAAGGATGCAGATTTGGATCAGCAAGAGGGTGCAGGAATTTCTTTATCACTTTCTCTGACATTGTGAGATTGCATTTTAACATTCATAATTTAACCAGGGAGTAATTCATGGATCTTGATGCAGAAAACAGGCATATTTAAGAAACTGATGTGTGTGTATGTGTGTGTATGCGTGTTCGTGTGAGATATATTTTGTGCATCTTGATTGAATATAAGTGGCGTGTGCTCTATCTAACCGTTCTAATTAACATTAGTGTTAATGGACGGTGTTTCAGTCATGCTTCCACAGCAGAACAGCTTCATTGGGAATCCTGATGTATTAAAATGCTATATATTGAAGCAGAGCGAGCAGGCGTGATGAGCACATATGATGCAGTCATTTACTAGGTTGTAGATTTTGACTTATTTCCTGACACATGGAGTAACACTGCCAGGCTTTTCCTTCTTTCTCTTGCCTTCTATGCTGACCAGTTGCTCTCCCTCTCGTGTGCTTTATCCGTGTCAGTCACACAATAGAACCCAACAGGAAAGTGCTGACGCTGTGGTGGTTGCAGAAAACAAACAGCATCGAGAGCTGTCCACCATCCACCCAGGGAATCACTCTGCTCACATTTGGATATTTTCATCTTAGAGATCCTGTTTTATGTTTAAAGATAAACTCATTTTCACATAAGTTACTTTAGAAAATACTATGATGACAAATATCTCATGTTAAAGTACACGCTATTTGGAAAATCGCGCTAAATGAAACTTACAAGTATTGACTGAGGAGCACTTCAGGCTGTGTGTGTGTGTGTGTGTGTGTGTGTGTGTGTGTGTGTGTGTGTGTGTGTGTGTGTGTGTCTGGACATCAGCTTATTGTGGCGGCTGGTAATGAGAGCTGGCGTGCGCTGCTACCATTGCTGGGCTTGTTTGTTTAGGTGCTGCTGTTCTGCGTGTGTATTTACATACATGTGTACGCCTGTGCGTGTGTGTTTTTTGGATGCCTCTATTTGTTCAGCTTCGCTCCGCTTTCTCAAGGTTGGCTCATCGCCGCCAGGAGACAAGTATAATAGTGGTGTGTGTGTGTTTGCCTGGGGGAATAGAATCTAGAGCAAACACACGTGTCCGTCTCTTTCCCAGGTGGAGTTGGATGAATGAATGGGCCGACAGTGATATTGACAAGCCGACCGCTGCTCATGTGCGTGTGTCGATCTAAAGCGTAGCAGGGAGGGAGAGGCATTTGTGGACTGACAGTTAGGTGCGTTATAAAAGTCTAAAAGAGAACTAGAAGGTCACTCAGAGAGCACATACCTCTGCCAAGGCCCAATAGTGCTTTTATAATATTTCTGCACCAATCTTCACATGCCTGGGTCTTTTCATCACATCCATGAATTTATTCTGACAAATGTTGGGATGTAGTGGATCTGCACCAAAATTAAATCGGTTCTTTTCTGACAGATACCACATCCTTCAACTAAGTTTCTTGGAAGTCCGTCCTGTTGTAATATTTGTTAAGGAAACAAACAAATGAACACAGAGGAAAACATAACCTCCTTGGCCGGAGTAATGTAACATGTTTTAAAGTTGAAAGCCTCTTAGAGCAGCTAATAGCCCAACCAAGTAAATTATTATTCTGTTTAATGTTGGGACAACCTGTAGATACTGTATTTTATCGCCTGCTCGTATCACATGATGTGTGTGGACCAATCATGATTGAGTGATAGTACCTTTAGTAAAGGTTAGACATATTCTTTAAATACTATATTATATGCTACAGTATTAGCTTGTAATCATTACAGTAACTAATGGTCCAGTTGTTCCCTGTAGACAATCTATAAAAACCCTCACTTGTAAACAGGGACAGAAAGAGACAGAGGAAGCGACGGTGCATCTCTGTCTCTCTGCGTTTCTAAAAGGGAGGGGATAAAGGGCCTTTTCTCCGCTGCACATGCCAGGCAACTCCCAGCAGCCTCACTGTTGACACAGCCACCACAATGGGAACTAAAGGCCTCCCAATGCCTCCTATTATGAGCCTAACCCCAGGCCCAGTCACTGCACTGCAGGGTTATCCAGTGCGGGCCAGCCAGCATTGGCCAAAGCCCCTTGAATATTAGCCTGGATATATAAGACTACCTCCCAGCCCCCTGCTGCATTGTTCAGCATTATTCTGCTCCCACAATGGGACATCATACTTTGGAAGTAATTTTCAAAAAGGGGAAGCCGATCAAAATTAATGGCACTTATTGTTTCTCTTTTCACACACATTGCTGAGCGGCCTGCCCCTCCCTCCTTTGTCGCTTTCTGCCTGTGTAGCCCTAAACCCCGGGGTTCATTCACGTCTATTATACGGACAAATTAAATAAAACCCAGTATGGGTTGGAAGGGGAGCGGAGAGCCACGCTGACCTTCGCTGGTGGAGTAGGACAGTCAGTGATGGGAGGAACAGCATGGAAGGAAGGGAGAGGTGGGCAGGTCGAGGAGTGGAGACAAGGGAGAGGCAGAGGGGGTTTGAGGAAGGCAGGAAGGGTTGAGACGGGTCTGGGTGGAAGGAAGCAGAAAAGGGGGAGAAGATGCTAAAGGTGGAGACAGAGTTTAGTTGGTCCTCACCAGGACTTCTGTAGATGGACACGTGAGGTTCTGCAGGGAGAGGAGATGCTGTGGGACAATCTCTGTCACTGCGAGGCTGAGAGCACTGATGGAAAAACATCTGCATCTAGGAACAATGAGAAGAAGTTGAACATTAACTGGAGATTACATGATCATCATCTATTTCTTTCTTCTTCACCTGTTCATCATTTTTCTAAAAGACTTTTAAAAAGTGTAGAAATATCAGAGCTCATCCAGGATGGATATATGGAGAAAAAAAAGTTCTCAAATTGCCTTTTTACTGTTTTGATAGATGGACGTCTGGAGAACAGAGTGAAGGTATGTTGCTGCTTGTGAAAGAGGGAGGGTCCTGAGTTGGGTGTGAAGGTGTGTTTCTGTGTGTTAGAGGTAGGTAGCCGAGTGCCATTAGCTTTTTAGGCTAATCTCGTTTTTTATGTTAGGTGTTGTTGCATTTAACAAAGGAGTAATCAGCCTGTGTGCTTGTTGTTGGTGTCACAGAAGAGTGACTTTTCACTGCAGTATTTGATTTTCATCCTCCTCTCTCACGATCCTTCAGATTAAGCTGGCGACCCTAACCCTAATAATAAACTCTTGTCTAGACGGCAAAATAAGAACCTCAAAAACAAACATTTCAGACATTTAGTCACAAATAACTCATACATAGTCTCTGAAATGCTTCTGAAACACTTATATGTAACTCACATTTCTAAAAAGATAAGACCAAATTAACAGTTTTTACCTAAATCTATTCTTACCTGCAGATCAACAAATTTCCAAGATTTAATCAAGCGTTCAAGAGCAGAAAGACTTTCTGAATGGAGAAAAGGATGTGAGCGGGTTAGAGAGGAAGAAAGCAAGCCACAGGAGAGGAAGATGAAGTGTGGGACAGCGGTGAAAAGGAATAAGGAGGGAAAGAAGAAGAAAAGGTTGTTGGGGGACAGGGGGAAAGGATAGATGGAGGAGAGTTGCTCTTTAGGGTCTTTGAAAGCAGCAGTTCCTGGCTGGGAGCTTGACCCCATTTAAGATGGGCGAGAGACCCAGAGACGAACTGTGAAGGAGGTAGAAAGAGGGACTCCTCAGCCGCACACTTAACCCTCCACAGGAAGTCCTCATTCTTCCCAGAATGAGACACCCCCCACCAACAGCAGAAAAACGAGGAAAAAGCCCTCATTTAGGAAGAGTGGAGGAGAGCGAGAGAGAGGACCCCCATCCTCCTCTGAGGGGGTCCTGATATCAAATCGTTCCCTCAGTGGGATAGAGAGAAATGTCAGGAAGAAGGAAAGGTTCTGTCTTTTATCATTTTTATTTTATATTGATTTGTTTGTGCAGAGACTGTAAATGAAGCCATATCAGCTTCTCAGTATTTTGTGATGTTGCAGCTTCACCTTAAAGAGCAACTTGTTTTTCATCTAAAGCTAATACACACAAGTTTTATCCAAAACATTGGAAACACTTCTCTGTGGTGGAGCCTGGATCCACTGTAATGCATCCAAGTAAAAAAAAATATGAAGTACAAAATAAATACTCTAAATGTCAGTGACTCATTTTGGCACTGGAGGAATGTATTTTAGTACATTTACAAATACTAGATCCTCACTACAGATGAGTATTTTCAGTGTCCCTCAACTACATTTCAGAGGAAAATATTTTATTTGCATGTTATTTAAATATAGTAAGTATTAAGTATGATATATTGATGTGCTACACATTAAACTACCCAACTCCATTTAAAGTAGTTCACTTAGCTCTACCTATCTCTGCTAAGTGCTGCATTTAATACTCTTTTGTACATTAATTATTATAAAAGAATCCATTAGTATAACATGTAAGGAGTCTTGAAAAGAGCTACTGGGCTGCACAAAGAGCACCTTTACGTGTTGCTACTCAGTACTTTTGCTAGTTCTTTGTACTGTAACCACCCCCTTTATATTTGTACTGTATTTAAACACTTAGTGTGTAGTTAAATGTAGTTGAAAATGGAAAGTCGAGTAATGACGCATGCCCAAGTCTTAAAATAAATGCCTGAAATGTCATTTGAGTTGGAAAGTTAGGAAAACTTCATTCAGGTTTTGACAGTTTCACAAGGTAGATTCAGAAGCGTCAGTTAAAATCAGTCATGGTGGTGGGGGTTAGGTAATCCTGGCAGCGCAGCACAATGACAGTCAGCTGTTTTCTGTGCTGGTGTGCAAAACAGGCATCTGTGTGTGTGTGTGTGTGTGTGTGTGTGTGTGTGTGTGTGTGTGTGTGTGTGTGTGTGTTAGAAAACCTTTGTAAAAGTTATATGAAGTTTGTTTTTTGTTTCAATATTTTACGATATGTTCCAAAAACTGTTTGCTAGGAGTGTTGAACTAGTGTTGAACTAAAAAGACATAAAATTGAATTATGATCAAATTGGTTATAAGATGAGTTATTAGATTGTGATGGATCATGGATGTGATATAAAGAAGCTGCTTTAAGTCTGAAAATATTTGCCTTTCTTCAGTTCTTTGTTAAACCTCTCAGTGTTAGTGTTTTATTAAAGGCCACTTTACATGTGGCAGCTCAATTACTGCAGGTCACTTTTACAGTCTCAGAATGAAAACTGCAGCCAGCATAAACACTGGCCGAACAAACAACCCAGTGCAAACAGGCAGGTTCAGAACTGGCACTGAAAACAAAAACTAGGCCTTGTCATCTGAGTTTGACCCCAGGTTCAGGGGTTTAACTTGAAGCTCTATTTCCAATGTAAAACCTATTGATCAGAGTAATGACTGCTGTTGGATTCATGTGGTGCAGTGAAAGTGCAAATACCAACACATGTTAAATCCACACTGTGATGGGTGACATGTATTTTGTCAGTTATGTGTGTGTTTGCGTTAGCCAGACAGGTTGGACTCATGCAGATCACTTTGATGTGGTCAGTGAGTGTGTGAGTGTGTGTGTGTTGGCTGGGACCGACTCTGGCCCCTCAGTGGGACTATCATTGCTGGTAATCCTCTTCATTGTCGACTAATCTGTTTTTGCCGAGGTCACTCCATCCCTGCCTCCCTCCATCACCCCCACCTCTCCTTCTCTTCTACCTCGTTCTTTTCACCACTCCCTCTCTACCACTTCTCCATATGCCATATTTCCCTCCCTCGCTCACCATCTACCATTCTTCCTTTAATAACACTAATCTTATTACACAGAGAATCCAAGCTTTCATGTTTATCTCCCGTCTTTTTGAAAATCAGACTATTAGTGAGAGATTATGGATCTTCCTCCTTGTGTTTTATCTTCTCCTCTTCCTGTCCTCCACCTCACCTCAGATAAGATAAACAAATAAACACAATTTATTGTTAGGAAAGTGAGAATGTTGAAACAGTAACTCCTCTACTGGGAATGGGAAAGCAATCAATCGTCTTTTAGGCTAGTTCACAGGCATAATAGAATATTGGGGACTCTAGTGTGAACACAACTCAGGAAGAGATGGACGTTTTCTTAGTTTGGACAGAGACAGGCTAGTTGTTTCCCTCTACCTCCAGTCTGTATGCTAAGCTAACCTTGTCTATCCCATCCTTCCCTCTGCTCTTGTATCCCCCGATCCAATCATCTCGTCATTTTCAATCCTTCATCTTACCTCTGCTCTCGCCACTAACAAACCACAATCGCATTTCATCTCTCGCGCATGCACACACACCCACGCACACCCACACACACCATATTTCTTTATATCTGGAAGCAATCAGTGATAGTGTTGGCTGCTCCTGAGCATCTTGACAATACTGGCAGACGGGGAGGCCGCACATGCTCTAATTAAATTAAATGTGTGTTTGTGTGTGATTTTGGGGGGGTGATGAGGGAGGAGAGGTAAAAATAAACTGTAGCTGTGGCATCAACACTGTTTGACCTGTCTGAAGCACATATGGAAGAATGAGAGCAAACAAAGAGCTCAGCTGGAAGTGTTAAAGGTCAAAGACGGATGCTCATTATTGCCGCTGCATTAACATCGTCATTAATCATTTCTTAATGATCTTTGTTTGCTCTGGATTTCTCAAACATCACTTGTCAAGTTTAGGTTCAGTTTCCCAGAAAGTGTTTAAAACAGCAAATGTAAAAGCTTTTCTGATCCTCACCTCTGTAGTTTAATCCTAATAGATTAGACCCTGTCACCAGATAGGAATGTTGACAATGACGGAATTTTGCAGAAACACTGAATGACTAAAAAATAGATATAGTATCATTCAGATCAGGAAAGAGTTGGGTTATGGAAAAGAAACTGTGAATATTTGGATAGGTTTAGCCAAATGGTTAAGGAAAGATCAAGGTGATGGAAAAATAAACTGCTGAAACAGGATGAGATTTCCCTGCTCGTCATCTACATGAAAGACACGATTGCTGTAAAGAATACTTAGTTTTTTAAAATCCTATAGTTTAGAATTCTATATCTTCCCATTATGAAGAGTGCAACTGATTAATCTGATGTAAAATGTACAGTACACAGTTCTACCTTAAGCACAGTGTCACATGCAGACGCAGGAACATCTGTTTTGTCTCCACTTTGTTTCAGACTATCATTCCTATCTGCCCATTAGAAACAAGTGACGTGGCCAATAATTAACAATAATTGTGAGCGTAGTTGGAGAGAGATGCTTGGAAAAGACTGGAGGCCGAGTTTATATAATGACGCGTACAGCTGAATCTTTCAGTTCTCACACACGGAGCAGATCTGAACATGTCGGTAGCCTCCAAATAAAGCAGAGCCAACAATCTGTCGTTTCTGGTTTGTTCTGTTAAGATGCTGCAGGTTTCTGTGCGAGAAATTACAGAATAAATGATGTTGAAGCTCCAGCGTAAATTCTCAATTCTCCGTCTCTCGTCATCTTCGGCAAAACCCATTAGCACAGCTCTGTTAGCGATCGTCTTGTAAACTGAGGCCCCAGTCATTCATTAAGCATCAATCAAATTACGAGGTGTGATGATTAAATGATGAGTGCAAATGCTTAACAGTGTTCGGAACATCAGGCCACTTTACTGTGACACTTGAAAATGGAGGGAATGGATGGAAGAAAGACAACATTAGTCTCTGTGTAGCTGGCTGGAACTGGATGGCTGCAGATGGTTATTATATTCATGGAAGTTATTACGGAGAGTGAATTTCAAAACCTTGAAGTCAAAGCTTCTCCAAATGCTGGTGGAGCAAAGAGAATTCAGAGTGCTCCTGTTGGCTCTCAGTCATAGTTAAATTATGCTTTAGTGAGGAATTCACATTTTGTTCCTATTATGAGACTCAGAAAGTACCAATAGAGATTGAGTGGAGCAGCTCTTGTATTTTTAAGAAAATGTATTCTTACTTTTTGCTTTGCCTTATTGTCAAATTTCTGATTACAGATTCAATGTAAAGATGGACGCTAGACAAGTGATCGCCCCCTGGTGACCGGCAGCAGTAAAGGTCATTTTTCTGGTAAGTTTGGTTTTAATTATTTATTCAATGCTAAAATAACAGGCTGAGACATCCTGATTGACAGCTAAGACTGACTCACGTATGGTCGAGCGTGTGAAACAGCACGACCTTGATACTGAGGCTCCATCCCTTGATCGCTATCGAGCAGAGTCTGACTCCAAATCATTTAATCACCTAAGATGGCAGCGTTCTGATCTGGGATCTTTTGGCTTAATTTCTGGATAGTGGGAAGAAGTGGAGACAAGTTTTCCATCTATATACAAAGTATGTGTTAACTGCTTTCGCTAACTACATTCAATTGTGCTGGCAGCAAAAATTGTTGGTAATATCAATTTAAATCCAACAGCCGCACAAACCAGCTGTAGAGCTGACGCTGTTGTATTATGTGGGATGAACACAGCATTCAGGTCAATAGCGCCGAGCCAATGTTGAAATTACATGAGTCAGAGTCTTCATGTACACATCACACAGTTTAAACAGGGCCCATAACTAAATTTGACCCATGGCCTCCTGGCAGGTTAATCCAACCCACTCTTCTTCACTAATATCAGTAATAAAATAAACAGTAAAAGACTGAAGAGATACTTGTTAAACTTGTTGAATTACTTTAGAAATAGAGAGAACACAAGGCTTTCAGAAAATACTTATTTAAAGGTCATCACAACTATTCCCATATGATTAGAAATAAATTCTCCTGGAAACGGTTTCATTATGCTGCTGTTCCATTTTACAGTTTATACTGAAAGATTGCAGAGAGAAGAGATTTCTATGTCAAGAAAATATTGAAAATATCATTTCACTGTAGTTCTGTGAGTAGTGAGTTGCCCTTTTATGAATATCTAACATGACATACAGTACGTCATAGCTTAATGCTGCATATAGACACTGTGTGTGTGTGTGCTCTGTCAGTGCTGCTGAGCTCCAGTAGAGCTGACAGCTTGCTGTGACAGAGAGCCTTAAACAAACCCACTGGGTCAGCCGCTGCACAGGAGAAATGCCTTTGATTCTACTGGGCTAGTTTGTGTGTGTGTGTGTGTGTGTGTGTGTGTGTGTGGATTGTTGGCTTTGAGATTTAAGTCAACTAGCCGAAAAAAGACACCCGGAAAACATAATTGCTGAGTCTTAATTCACTTAGCTCCAAACTCAGATGGAGTTTCTTTCCAATCTATAATCAAGAGAGTAGTGTTTCATTGAGAGAGCTATTTCTTTATTTCAGATTGTCTAGTGTTCTCCCACCAACCTCTCTCTCAAACGTCCATGTGTCTTAACTCAGATATGTTGTTGCTGCACAAACATCTCCTGTCACCAGCAAATGTTCTTTCAACCTACTTTGTGATAAACCTTGTTTGTTTGTTGCAGGTATAGAAACTGTATGGAGAGAAGAGGTCTCACCAGCAGCTCACTGTTGCAGGTTCTTGGACACAATGGTTCCTGCAGAGTGGACACAGTCTTAAACTGAGCAGCAGCTGATGCGACACCCTGCACGTCCTGAGCAGCTGATGAAGACAGACACAGACACTATTAACAAACACTATCACATGCACCAAATCACACAGTACTTGTATGCATATTGGACTGCAGCTGTATGATGTCCCACAGCTCTATACTCCAAATAAAACCTGAAGTCACCTGAGGACAGCCGGAAAATCCTTCATACATCGCTCATGCAGTTTGTGGACAACAAATACTGTGTTAAAGTCCAACTGAAATCAAGTTGAAGGTTGTTTATGTCTGTAAGTCACATTGACTGAAAGCCAGAGACTCTGAAGTACAACCAACCACCATCAGCTCTCCTGCTTCAGTCTCCTTCTTATCTCATTAAAGATTCTTACCAAGAAATTCGGGCCCTGCAGCTTCAGTGGGTCCCTTTCCTCTTCTAATATACCTGAGGTGAGCACATGTATCTACAGTGGGTATCAGGATAATCTGTACTCAACTTTTACTATATTTTACATATTACTTTATTATGTATCTGCAGTATTCCCTCAATTATTTTGTAACTGCACTTTAATTATTCATGGAAACAATGTTAGTTGTTAAGTCATCAACAGTGATTATGTTTCTAGTGAAGGGCTGTCACAATAATCCAATATTGATCATTAGAATATTTAAACAAATTAATTACTGATATTGTGTCAATACGTTTATCTATCGGCTTAATCAATCCAGCCCCCTATTTATAATTTCTATTTTAGTTTTGATTCTGTCACTGTCTGGTTCACACTTATTAGTTATTAGGGTACTTTTAATAATTAGAAATATGTGCTGAGCAAATCTAATGTATTTATCTACCGTCTAGTTGGAGCCATTGGAGGACGTCAGTTCACAGACAGTATAAGTCACACACAAACAGAGAGAATAAGACACAAAGAGCTGAGATCTGACAGCAGGGACAATGATGGGAGTGGGGTCTTCTGTTCACTTATCACACAAAGCCGACACGCAGGCATCACAACTCTGAAAAGGTCAAAATGATCCAGGCTGTAAGTGAAACCATCCACCTCTATGGAAACTGATTCCACCTATTATTATTATTTAGCTTTCTTTTGGAGTCAAAGGTCCATTTAAAAGTATAGAACATTGCTGTGAAATCAACAGATAAAGACTCAACATTAGAAAACTATGGTCACTGACAGGATATTATTATTTGCTCGATATGAAACATTTCTGTCGATGCTCTGATTGCATTTCCTCCTCATGACGGCTGATTTTCTTGCTGCTGCATTTCCTGTGTTTGAAAGCTACACTGTGCGACCATGTGTTTCTATGCTGGATGCAGGGGGGTGGGGTGGGGGGGGGCTGTCACAGTGCACGCAGCGCAATTCATACAAGCCACTTAACAGCACTATAGCCAACTGGTACAAGGCAGCGAGAGGAAAATCCAGCCGTGCCAACGTGCCAGTGTAGTTTAACAGCTCGCTGAGAGGCGGGCTGCACCTGACAGATGGCACTTTAGCAGCATAATCCCAGAGGGCTGAAAAGATCCTCCACAGACGGGAAGCCAGTGAAGCAGGAGGACACTGGAATACCCAACAACATACGACTATGTGTCAAACATGAAGCTGCAAAGATTCACTGATGGTCAAAACAAACCATCTGCAACAAAACAGACTCAATCAATCCAATTTAGCAAAAAATATAACCCATATATAAAATTAGACATTTGTTTCTGTCATGGTTCATATCAAACTGAAAATCTTCACATTTTGGACAAAGTTGATTTAAATGTGAGTATTGAGTAATTTAACAATATAGGTTCTAATATGTGCCCTGTGTCATACAGTCCCAGATTAATCAATTCTTAAAGTCTGACAGATTATAATAAATTGATAAATCATTACAGGCTAATTAAACATTTGTCCCCTGTGCTGCTGGGTAATTGTGATAGGTGTTTATATAAGGTTTTTATATGAGCTATATTAGTCATAATGTATAAAAGTAATATTCTAATTCATTCTCAAAATTGTTGTTTTTCTGCATTGAGTCAATTTACTGAAAACAAGTACAACAAATATCTGCAGATTAATCTATAAGTAAAATATTGTTTTTTATACTATGTGTTATTTTCTATTAATAATAGAAGAATGATATATATTATACCTTTGACAAATTCCACATTATCCCAGACAGAATCAACTAAACATTGAATTGCAGTATTGTGTGTTTAAAAACAGTCGTCTCTCCTCAACAGATCATGACAGACGAATACATTTATCCTTCAGAAGAATTGCTTTGCACCATCATCCTTGATCCTTGAGAACAGGTGATGTGAGGCCTGAAGCAGCATCAGGCCTGCAGCTGCTTCACATGGGCTTGTACTTCATCAGCTGATTGAAAATGCTCTTATTTAAAAACCTATCCTGTCTCTAACATTGATCACAGCATTACTGTGGCACTTTTTCTGTGTGGGGGTTAAACCTCTCCCTCTGTCTCTCGTCCTCGCCACACAGCGCTGGGGAAACAAACAAAAGGGGTGCTTTGAATGGCATGTGCTCCAGGGCGTCAGTCATCTGTTCCCTAGCAACGGGCACAACAGAAAAGCACCTGTGGCTCTGAATAAAAGGCTGCGGAGCCCTTTAGTTTGACCAGAAACCAGAGGCAAATTGAAAAATAGGTTTTCATATGAGATGTGTAGAATAATCCCAGAATAATCTATCTGAAAATTATAGATCATAAGAAATTAATATGGATTGTATATTAGTGGGCTTTTAATTAGCTATCTCAGCATTTTAATTCAGAATGTAACAGTAGATTTGAATGTAGGCAGAAGCCTGTTTTAAAATTCAAACCCAGTTAAACCAGATGAGTATTTCCTGTACTTGATGGTGACCAAGGTAATTAAGGCCATGATGCGTCATTACTTTATTTTTACTTAATTTGTTATAATGAATTTACCAAAACAGTATTTATCATTTAGATTATAAATATATGAAATATATGAAAAGAAGAGGAGACAGACTCCTGAGTGTTTGAGAGCACATGTGCATCAAAGTGTTGACATGTTGTGTTTTCATCCACACGCACTAAATACGGGGAGCCTTTTTTGGGGAGGGGGGGTCTCTCGCTTCGACGTCACCAGAACCTCGTGCAACTGCATGCAAATCACGTCTGCGCTCGCGCTTCTCCATTGGACGTCTCTCGCTCATTTAGCTGCGGTGGGAGCGCGCGTCCCGGGCACGCTCCGGTAACTTTTCCCTCAGCTGCGCTTCAACCAAACTCAAAGCTCCGGCAGCAGCTTCCTGTTCTTCTGACAGGGGAGAGGAGGAGGAGGAGAAGTGAGGAGCAAGTTTACACCTCTGAGGATTTCATCCCGACACCACAGCAGCTCTTCATCCCTCTCTCGGTGCCTCTTCATCCATCTCTTCCTCGGAGGTGCAGCCGCGCAGGGCCAGCCTGAATGTGTCTGTGTGTTTGACTCAAGTTGGGTCCTGTCAGACGAGGTGAATGTACAGCATCATGATGGAGACGGACTTACATTCCCCCGTGGTGTCCCAGACCAACCCATCCAACCCGGGGGGACACGGCGGGCCCGGAGGCAAAGTCCCCCAGGAGCGCATCAAGAGACCCATGAACGCCTTCATGGTGTGGTCCCGGGGCCAGCGCAGGAAAATGGCACAGGAGAACCCCAAGATGCACAACTCGGAGATCAGCAAGAGGCTGGGGGCCGAGTGGAAGGTGATGACGGAGGCGGAGAAGAGGCCGTTCATCGACGAGGCGAAGCGGCTCCGGGCCATGCACATGAAGGAACACCCGGACTACAAGTACCGGCCGCGCAGGAAGACCAAGACGCTGCTGAAGAAGGACAAGTACTCGCTGGCCGGGGGGCTGCTGGGCTCCTCCGCGGGGGTCGGGATGGGCGGCGTGCAGCGGCTGGACAGTCCCGGCGGCCACGCAGGGGCCAACGCGGGCTACGCGTCGCATGTGAACGGCTGGGCGAACGGCGCGTACTCCGGTCAGGTGGCGGCGGCTGCGGCGGCGGCACACGCAATGATGCAGGAGGCGCAGCTGGCGTACACGCAACACCCGGGCACCGGGGGTCACCCGCACCATCACCCGCACCACCACCCGCACAACCCGCAGCCCGTGCACAGGTACGACATGAGCGCCCTGTCGTACAGCCCCATCTCAAACTCTCAGAGCTACATGAGCGCCTCTCCGCCGGGATACGGCGGCATCACCGGCTACACTCACCAGCACCAGGGCTCCGGCGTGTCCGGGGTGATCGGTGGGACGTTGGGATCCCTGGTGAAATCTGAGCCCAGCGTGAGCCCCCCGGTTTCCACAGCCCGCGCGCCGCCGTGCGCCACGGGGGACCTGCGGGACATGATCAGCATGTACCTGCCCCCCGGAGACCCGGCGGGAGACGTTCAGAGCAGACTGCACGTGTTGCACCCGCAGCACTACCAGAGCAGCGGCTCCGCTCCGGTCAACGGGACGGTTCCTCTGACGCATATTTAAAACCAAATATTTGAACTGTAGATGTGGAGCGGGCTGCTGAGGATGAATTGTAAATTATAGGCGGGTATAGCCATGAAAATGCAATCACTTTGAACAAACTTATTTTTATTGTTTCTATTTTCTTTGATCGATTCTTGTCTGTCCGAGTTAAAGCTGATCTGCTCTCTGGAACAGGGCATGCCAAGTTTAACCCCATTTAAATTATAACCCGTGCAGACTGGTGCATTTTTTGAAGTTTTATTTTATTTTTCCGACTTTTCTGTGGAATTACAGGCACCAGAGTGTGAGAGCTGTTTAATGAGGGAGCCGCTGTGCAGGATGTGTTTCAAACAAGTTTCTTGGCTGCAGTTGACATTGATTTCCAGTTTTCATGATTGTAAACATGTGAGTCAGTCGGTGTTATTTGAATTCGTTTTTGTTGTTGTAAAATCTTGTAAATTGTGAATAAATAGGCCTCCTGAAAACGCCTTTTATCTAATTGTACACATAATTGACTAAAGTCCCCGCTATGGGGTTGCAGATGAAACCGTTTTGAGTTTAATACATTTTCAGATAATTTCATTGTGGAGAAAGTGTTAGTGGGGTTTTTGATTTTGCAGATTTAAAACAATTCCAGTGTCTGCTGTTCATTAAGATTTATTCCATGTAGGAAATATATTAAAAATACTATTATCCCGTCAAATCTCAGTCCAAATTATCAAAAATGTAATTTTGGCAGCTAAAAAAGATTGACATTAAATTACAGACGGATATGTTTCCTAATCCCCTTGAAAACAGGGATGTTATTTATCAATTTGGCTTTTGATTGATTATTTCTCTTATTATTTAAAATGATGCAAACCTGATCACATTTTGCTTTTCTTTATGACCAATCTTGTTTTTTAAAGACATCAGTTCAACCTTTTTATAAAATTGCCATATTAAGGTGATGGAGATTATTTTATTGGGGAAATTACAGGTTAAAGGGCTCCATTTATTTATATGTTAACATTTAAAATGTCCTGCCTGGATCTCTAATTGTATCATGATGTTTGATATAGATTTATTTGCAGTTGTTTGAGGATTTTATTTCCAGGGAGAAGAATGTACAAAATGAGCCTAATAATTTCCTATTTGTCTGGATTTTCTATTTTTAAATTTGGCCAGCCCCTCTATAAATTTCATGCTTTATTGTCAGTGTTTAATGGGAAATAATTAATTTTCCCGTTTGTCTTGTAATGTGTTGTGTTATATGTTGATTTCCTGTTTTCTGTCTTGAAAGTTGTGAAGATTTTTGTGGGAAATCTTTTATGAGCTGGCCTCATGGAATCACTTGCATCTAAAATATGACATGAGAAGGCCTTTCTGTCTTCTCATCACTATTTATTTAACTGAAACAATTTGTTTATTATCTACGTTTTTGTTTTGGACAACTTGAACATGCAAGATTTATAATTTTAGCTGATAACCTTGACAGTCAGTCTCAATTTAACAAAGGAAATGTCTATATAATTGCACTCAAAGGCCCAACACAGCAAAGTTTCTCTTTTTTACCGTCCTGCAGGGTCATGACCTCACTAATCTACGTCTCACTCCAAAATAAATCCGACAACAAGAGTATCCGGTGGTCAATGAACGACTAATTCTTCAACTGGCCTCAATTGGGCCCATTTCAACCTCGTCTCCACCTGAGTCCCTGTTCTCCAGCACAGGTCCTCAAGCTTTACCTCTCTGCACACCCGCAGCATCAAACGCCAGTGTGAGATTCTCCAGGTTGTTAAATGATTTCCGTCTTTAATTTAATGTCTGAAACGCTAGAGGCCCCGGGGATAGAAAGGGAGGAGTGAAAGAGCATAGAGGAGGAGGAGGGAGAAGGCGAGGAGGGGAGGTTTTTGTGTTGGAGGAGAATGGGGATTAGTCCTGATGTAAGCTGGGGCAGCCCGGGGGTCACCCCACCACAAAAAGCCCGGCTAACAACACCCCTGGTTTTATCAGACTAATTCCCACTCGGGTCTGGACTTAAAAACAAGAGGCCAGCGTGGCTGTAAATCACATCAGATAAAGCTGTTTCCAGGGACGTCATGTGTTTAAACTGAAGGTATTTAACAAATAAAAGTTTGGACTTATATTTGAGGGGGTCAATCTTCAGAACATACAAATATAATACAAACACACAAACATGAAGACTTTGAAATGCGATATTTTAAAGTGTTAACGAGCAATTGTTTTTTCTAATTTACAGTAACCCACTTTCAACTACAATTTTATCATCTATGCATGACGATGCCAATAAAAGTGAATTTCTCTCATCATTTGACATGAATTTGCATTTCATCAGTATGTCCTCAAACTATCTGGCTAACTGGTTTTTTAAAGTGATTAAAAAACAGTTTAAGAATGACAAACTCATTTTGAATTTTCATTGGCCAATAATTGGATGTAGAGTTAATGGGAGGCTGTGAAACGTTGTGTTTCTCCGAATTCATAATAAACTTTATCATAGA